GGTAAAAAGAGATCTCTGATTTCAAAAGAAAACAGAGGAGGTGAGATTAAAAGGAAAAAAGGAGGAAGCAAGAAAAAAAGTACGAGAAGAAAGAAGAACAGAGTCGATTTGAGAGGGGCAAGTTTGAGAGCTTGAGACAGATCAGAGACATAGAGGCTAAAAATTGGGGATTTGGGGTTTATTTTTTTATGAGGAGAAAAGCAGAGGGCATTCTGAGAGTAAAGAAGAGAAGCTGAAAAGAGAGCAAACAGAGAAGCAGAGAAGGGGTCCGGGATTTTATAGTGCCTGTTGAAGACTAGAAGAAGATAGAATTGCTATGATGTTGGTAAAACTGTCTTCTTTTCTCTTTCCCTTTTACTTTAAATTTCCTAATATGGGGGACTATTGTTAGTGAAGGTTGAATGAAAGTAGATGATGCTAGCATTGATTTAATCCCTTGATCTGTTGCTCTCCTCTGTTTTTTAATACATGATGATGTGAGATTGCTTAATGAACATGTCAGGTTGCCATTGGATTAAGAAGATGAGCTGCTTGGGAGTATTATTACATTTTAAATTCTTTGAACTCTTAATATAGAAAAAATAGGGTTGATTTGTGCAATTAGAGATTTGGGGATAAAGATCTAGCCATTACACCTACGGTTTTTTAAATATCACATATAAGAAGTCTTAAGTATCACACTTAAGGATTTGATTGCATCACACAATTAGAAAATTGAGAAACTCTCAAAATGTTATTGAATAACTTGAATGGTCTAATAAATAAAGTTACAAGTTATTATAATAATCTCTAAGCAAATATTTTCTAAAGAAAATTAAAATAAGAGATAGTAAACTAGTTTTTGACATTAATCCTAATAAAAAATAAGAAACTAAATACTGATAATATTAGGAATTTAATCTTAATACAAATAGGAATACACTAATAAGAATAAAAATTCTAAGTTATTAAAATTATGATAATGCTCTTCAATAGTATAAAATAGACTCCTAAATAGTATAATAATTTTATATTTAATATAATTATAATTTTTAATTTATTTAGAAAATATAATATTTGCCCGTTTTGCATCATTATTCCCTGGTTGGAAAAAACTCGTCCACAAGTTCTGAAGTGGCGAATTATGCAAAGCTTTGACCTTTGAGCTTCTTTATAAAAACTTTAAGAAGTTTTGTGTTTGGTTGTTCTCGCCAATACCTAAATGGTAGGAGTGTTAAATCTTGGTGGGGTGATGAAATCAACATGTTAACAAATTAGTATGTCAAATCCCTTGTTGCATGGAATTGCCATGGAGTTGACTCTTTGGGAAAGATACTGAGCAATAGGAAGACATAGTCGGCCATCCATAAAGTTGACTCTTAGGGAAATGTCTTAAACAATAGAAGACAAAGTGATTCTTCTTCCACTTCCACTTTGGAGTTTGATGATATACACCTTACCGAAAGAGAGGTACTTGTCCACTAGGAGCTAAATCGTCATCCTTGTGTGATACATAACCATAATCTCTTTTCTTGCATCTTTTTTTTTTCTTTTATTCCAACATGCAAGTTATTCTTTGTTGGGCACTCGTAGCCCATGTGCCTACTTTGTCCACAACTAAAACACACAATTTCTTTACTTTTAGGGGTTCCGAAATTTGGTGTTGATCCATTCTTCAACTCACCTTTTGATTCAAATGTATGTTTAGGAGTGGTTTCCACAATGTTTCTTGAGATTGGATATTTTAAATATTCTTTCACGTTAAAGGCTGCTTGATAAGTTTGTGCTATAGTGATGTGGAACCCAGGATAAATGATGTAATACAAAACTCACACAATGCTCATTAGGGCACCCAAGATTTAAATTCTATAAAAAATTTTCATATTTAACCCGTTATCAATAAAGCGATAGGAATTAAGATCATTGAAAAATTAAAAGAATAGGAATAGGAAAAATGCCACAAGACATTCTTTGATAAGTCGATAAACTCCTTGCTTAACAAGAAGGCTGAAGACACTTAAATAGAAATAAATTTTGTAATTGTATTGATTGAAACTTGAATGATTATAACTAGAAATTGAAGGCTTATTTATAAAGTAGGTTATGTGCAATAGAAAAAAATAAATCTCCTAAATTAATTGTAAAAATTTAAAGGAAATTAAATTTTATCTTAAATGAAAAAAATAATAAAAAATAAAGAAGAATTTGACTAAATAAGCTAAACATAATCTTCCGTTTTGGGAACTTTTTAAATGGGGAAGATCTTAATTACTTGTAGGATAATTAGGGGAAGAATAAATGGAAGTTTAGGGCTGACCATTAAAGGAGCATTATGACCACCCAAATCTTTCTTTTTCAGCTGAGATTTGGTTTTTTTGACTGATCCTCTCTCCTAAATGGGAAGATTTCCCGGGGGATTAGGGAAGAAACTCCAATGAGAATTTTCCCATTTCAAAGCTTGGAAGATTTCTGTCTTATGGCTGAATTCACTTGCCTTTTCTTGCTTGATTCCTTCTTCCACTTGGATTGAATTGTGGGGATTATTATACCCTTGGGTTAATGGGTTTGTTTTATTCTTCTCTTGGGCTTCTTCACCTAATCCAAATCCATCATCCTCATTGATCCATTCTTGGATAAAAAATTGGAGGGCTTGTTTGTCATATTCATGGTCCATGCTCACATCACATAGTCCAGAGGTTGTCAAATTAACAATCTTTTAATATCAACTCTTAGTCTTGCCATGAATCGAGATGCTATTTGACTATCATCTTCAATTAATTGACTTCGAATTTTTAGTTCTTCAAACTTCTACGTGTAGTTAGTTATTTATATGTTACCGTGAACTAAAATATAAACTTGATCACGAAGTTTATCAAAGTAGTTGGGAGATAGGTGCTTTTAACAAAGGATAGTTTTTATCTTGTCCCACGTTTCAATTGTTGTTTGTTTCCTTTTTGTTATATTTTCATTAATTAATATACCACTATATTGTTGCAAGTTCAACCAACTTCATCTTAACAAGTCCAAGTTCTTGTGTATTTGACATATCATACCAGTTGAAGTACGTTTCTATTAAGTTAAGCTAATCAAGGAAGAAATCAGATCTTTTTTTCCATTTTTTTTTTGAGATAAAAACAAATATATTACATATAACGCACCAAGGGGTTGTCGCCCTTGTACAAAATATTTACATAT